ATCTTCCTTATCTCTCTCCTTTTTTTTACTTTCCATCTCATCTCTCTCCCCATATCTTCTCATGAAATACAATAAAAAGAAACTGAATGGATTATTTCATCTCTCTCTTTCACTCTCTCTCTCTCTTTCTTTCTCTCTTTCTTTCTCTCTCTTTTTCTCTCTCTTTTCCTCTCTCTCTTTCTCTCTCTCTTTCACTTTCTCTCCTCTTTCACTTTCCCACACACACACACACACTCTCTCTCTCTCTCTTTCACTCTCTCTCTCTTTTTCACTTTCTCTTTTCCACTCTCTCTCTCTCTTTTTCACTCTCTCTCACTCTCTCTCATTCTCTTCCTCTCTCTCTCTCTTTATTATCTCACTACCATGAGTACGCCTGGGTTTTATTTGCATATATCTGGATAAGATAGATGGATGGGTGGATATGTGTTGGGATTGAGTTAGTGCTAAATAAATATTTATGATATGTGCGCGTTTTAATCTGTAATCGCGTTTATAATTTGTAAATAAATAAATCTGTAAATGAATGAATGAATAAATGGATGGATGAATGGATGGATGGTTGTTTGGATGAATGGATGGATATTTGGATGGACGGATGAATGTTTGGATGGATGGATGAATGAATGAATAAAAAATATATAAATGAATGAATGAATGAATGAATAAAAAATATATAAACGGATAAACGAACGAATGAATACACGAACCAACGAAAAATGAATTAATGAAGATTTTTTGTATGATGTAATAATAAAGAAAACAAGAAGACGGAAGTTAACCGAATGAGGTCATCATCTTAAGAATTTTGAAAATTCTCCCTCCCCCCTCACCGAAATTGATTGGATTTAGGAAAAATCCGGATTCGTTAAGTGCAAAAATCCGGATTTTCTCTGGATGGGTGTGACGATGGCACCGGAAGTATAATGATTTAAATGAAAAGATGATTTTTTTATTCTTCATAATGCAGTTTGGTCAAATGCAGAGCTGCTTATTTCTCGTGCCAAAAAGACTGTCCTATTTACACCACACCACACCACAAGACTCACATACGCATGTATGCACACGCCTGTGATGTATGAGACGGACAGTTTTCGAACCAAACCACCGCGTAATAACAGCTCGAGACGTGGCACTTCTACCGACTGAGCTAAATCTCGCCGACCAAATAAATATTCAGCTAAAGAATGAACAGTGAACTCTTGAGAGGATTGTTATTGTTCTGGCTCCTTATAAATTTCTTCTTCCAATATTCACGCTACTCCGACTGCGAACAAACTTAAGAAATAAAAACTTACTAAATCCTTATAGTAAAAATCTTTCTCCCTAGCGGGGAATCGAACCCCGACCGCGGCGGTGAGAGCGCCGAATCCTAACCATTAGACTACTAGGGAACTTATGACGACATGATATTTCAACGTGGTACTTATTCATTGGCTGATGATGTGTTTTGATGTGCAGTCGAGTGCTCTACATTTTTCGCTGTATTATTTCTTGCCATTTTCGTTTGTATTACTAAAATGTGAAGACATACACACAGGCATAAACAAACACACACACAAACAAACGCACACAGACGCACATACATACAAACATGCTAACAAACAACGCGCCCATGCACACGATCATCTACACACACACACACACATACAAACAAACACACAAATAGAGGAACAAGCACTTCATATAAATGTTTATATAATAAACATATATTAGTAAATGTTTATTTAATGAATATTATATAACCAGTAGTGGAGCTCTTCTTCATTGTACACACAGCAACACACGGAACATGATGCACTCACTCCACGTGTGTTTTGCCCATTGTGTGGCATCAGTGGAATGAAAAGTGGCAAACTCGATAATTAATATTAAGAGATGAAGTGAAGAGGGAGAAGTTTTCAGGTTGCCATGTAACAGTTGATCGGAAACGATTTTCATAATATTGAAAGAATCCATAAAAATCATTCACATCCTTGAACATGATATAATAAAAATTATACCCTGGCAAAATATAAATTTAAATAAGTATGTGACTTTATGGATTGTTACCTCATGGATTGCGGTTAGGTGACATCGAAATGAACATTGTGTTGAACAACTTTTTAAAAACTGGCAAACAACAAATAGATACATTTCCTAGTTTCATATCACACAAATTTTTCTTTGTAACAACAACAACTACTATTACTACTACAACAACAGCAACAACATTAACATTAGTATTAATAATAGAAACAACAAGAATGAAATCCTAAACAAAAATAATAAGCAACCAACATCAGAAGCAAATACCAAAGACAAACATTGCATACAAACAAACAAACAGGAACTTAAACAAACACGACGTATATATGTGTACACAAAAAACGTAATAAACAAACATCTTATACAAACACCAAACAAAAATATTCATGCTAACATACATACACTCATACATACATACGTGCAAGTTTTCACAGCACACATCACATGCAAGCATAACTCACCACATAAATATTGTACATTTTATACAAACCAACTTCACAGACAATCAAAATACACAAACATCATGTGTAAACATTGGATACAAACTTCCTATACAAAAATCACATACATACTTTACATCCAGTCAGGTCAGGTAAGTAGTTTTGGAGCCACGGGCAAAAGAAGTTTTGAAACAACCACCCCCTCCCAACTAGAATATTTTCCATTAAAAATTTTGGCATAATTTGTTTTTAGCTCCTCTGCAACAAAAAGATATATCGTCAAATCTTTTTTTTTATAAAGAGGGGATCGAGCCAAATAATGGCCTTCAACTTTGTAAAACTTCCAGCACTTCAAAACGAAAAATTTTCACTACCCAACTCATCAACTGGTTCTGTTGTGATGTCTCGTCCCCCATCTGTCTCTGCAGTCTGTTCATGCTCCACTTATTCCCACCTCACATTTTTTTCTTTTCTTAATCTCTTCTTCGTCAAATAATTTATTCATCTTTTCAAATGTTTATTCATGAAAATTTTTGAACTGTTATTGTTTCATAATTTCTTCAGTTTATATATATTGCAACTGTTTATATATTTCGCAATTGCAACTGTTTTTGTGTTGGGTGGACCAGGAATGGACACTCGTCTAAACGAAAAAAATTGTTTTCATCAATAATTCAAAAGAATTTCCCTTCAATGCGCCAAATTTTTCAATTTTTTCAACATCAAAACAAAATTCAATTTGACCATTTAATAGAATACTGTTTTGTTGTGCCATGGCAAATCCACTTCGCCATCATCTTCGTCGTCCTCATTCTTATTGCGATCCTTTCATCATCGTCATTATCATCACCATCGTTATCACTATCATTATCACTATCATTATCAATATCATTATCCTCACCATTATTTTCATCACCATCATTATCACTATCATTATCGTCATCAACATCATTGTCGTCGTCATCACCATCATCATCATTGTTGTCATCGTTATTTTCACCATCATCATCATCATATTATAAGATGATTGCACGTAAAACCTTTCATAGCTATAAGTATAATTAGAGATATATAATCATGAATATGATGATATGATTGTTCCTTACTAGATAAGTAGATAACCACTAGTAACTAATCTACCACATTTGCTCTTATCAAAAGTTGTAATGATATCACGTAATGATAAAATGTCTCATGTTAATTTTAAAGTATCATGTTAACTTTGGAGTATCATGTAAATTTTGAAGTATCATTCTAACTTTGTGCTAATTTTAAAGTATATTTAGTTTGTGTGGACATTTTTTTGTTTACCTTCACTTTATTTACTTAAGTAACTTTTACAGTGTAAAATGTATTATTCATCCATTGTTCCATTAGAATTGCACGTCAAATAAATCACAAATCGTTTTTAAATCCGTCCTAAAACAAGTTAATCCTTTAAAAATTCAGCCAATAATTTACAAATAAATACATTCATAATAAATGTAATATATTATAAAAGTAATAAATAATTACATCTAGTCTAAAGATATTTTTTCAAACGTCTTCCAAAACAGTGTAAAAGTGGAATTTGACAAGCTGACACAGGAAAAAACTGAGCTCCATAGACTCTATATCATGGTGAGACACAAAGTCACACACACGCGCACACACACGCGTGCACACACACACACTTTCATCACTGTCATCATCATAGTCATCGTCTGCATCACCATCGTAATCATCATCAGCTAATCATCATCATCTTCAGCTAATCAATATCATCAACAACAGAATTTTTATCATCTTTACTATTATCATCTAAATTGTTGCCTTCATTATCGTATGGTGAGATGTTATAACAGACTGGTTTTAAGGGGTCGTCTGGCCCTGTTGTACTGACCGGGTTCGACTGCAGAAAGATCCACGTTCGTCACATGCAACACAGACACATGTACTGTGTGTATGTGTGTTGTTGATACTTCATCATAATAATAATAAATGACCATAATAACAATCATTGTCAGCACCGCTATCTACATTGCTGTTTTTGGTTTCAACTCGGAAAATGATTTTTATTGATTTGAAATAATAATATTAATATTAATAATAATAATAATAATAATAGAATTGTTGTTAATTTTTCCAGTATTACGAGATGTCGTACGGATTGAATGTCGAAATGCACAAACAGGTATGTGCCGACGTGTTGTTGCAGCTGCTGTTGATTGTTGTTATGTCGGTTGTGGTTGGTGCTGTTGTTAGTGATTATCTAGTGCTGACTTTTTGTTGATTGTTAATGTTGGTAACGATTTCGTGTTGTTGTTGCTGTTGTTGGCGATGATTGTGTTGTTCTAACATTTAAACATTCAAACACCCAGCCCGTACATGCCTTTTTTGTTGAGTAAGTTATTTAAATTGTTTATATTTTTTAGACGGTTATATTCTTCCTTAAAATAAAAGTTTGAAGTTTTGAATTTTACTAATCCCAAAAAATCTAATCAATGTGACAAAATGTTTGATGTGTATTGTTTGGTGCTGGAGAAAGTGAGGTTCAGAGGTGGGGGATAGACAGCATCTTTCGAACCTACTCGCTGTTGAAGTGCTCATATAATTGATACATGTTTGATAAAAATTTATTTTCCGATTGTATATTTTTAATTATTAAAAGTGTAACATTTGAATTGGGCAAACTTAAAATAAAATTTGTTTAAAATGTATGAGCACAAATTTAAAATAGGTGCTACAAAAATTGAAATTGGTTTGAAGTAGATATCACGAAAGATGAAAGAACCTAGGTGCTTTTGTTACTTGGCCCGTTTCAAAGTTTTAACATCTCTTAATTCTATAATCTATTGTTTTAAAAGTTAACATGACATATCTGCTTATTCAGACCGCTACATCGTCACAACATCACATCAGCACACCATCACATATTTACATATTCACAAATTTTCTTTGTTTTGTAAAGAAGCACTAAACGCTTGCTGTCATATAGCTACTTGGAAGAAATGTGCTAATAGATGATGATGCTAATGAACAAATGAACACAAACCAAATCAATCTCTTTTGAGAAATCTATAACTTCTATATAATCTTGAGATCTGAAAGTGATTTCTAGCAATGCCTTTTGTTCTTTATTGCAAAACTCAAACAGATGTTGAACTGCTTACACGTTGTTTCTTACATTCTGTCAGAGTTTTCGTGCCTAAAAAGACGAAATAGAAATACACACACATCCATGAACACGCACAAGCATCGCGTCCTAGTTTTTTAGTTTAGGACAGACCGCGTTCAGAAGCAAGTACTGCGTTATTTAATTTATTCTAAAAAAGCAGAATCCGACGGACATGAAGCGTGTTTGTGGTTTCATTATAAAAAAATTTGAAATTAGTTCCTTTTTTATATTTTACATTTTAAAATAAGAACAAAAATATGTCTGCCCAGATTTAATATTTGTAAGTTCTTCTTTTTTATTTAAGAACATCCAAATGTACAAGTTGCTTCACTTTAAAATGTTTTTTTAGAGAATATTTGCTTGGCGATCAATTATTCATCGAGAGAATTTATAGACCTTTTTGAGAATATTATTTCTGTTTGTTTTATTAATTTTATTTTATTGGATAGTTATATTTTTCTGCTTTCCTAACTTTTTCAAATAACATTAAAAATAAAAAAACGCTGTGCCTAAAAAATCATATGGGTAAAACCTTAGTCGGGTTAATAAAACTATGTAAAAAAGAAATGGTGAAAATGAAAAAGTTTATGTTTCTTTGTTTGATTGTTTGTTTGTTTGTTTGTTTGTTTGCCACAACTGCTTCAAACAATTTCAAAAATTGTTCACTTTCTATTTATTTTTTTATATTTTTTTAACATTTTTAATTTTCAGACGGAAATAGCAAAGAGGTTGAACGCAATATGTGCTCAAATAATCCCATTTCTTTCCCAAGAAGTAGGTTTTTAACCTTTTTTATTATTAAAAAAAATACCATTTGTTGTCATTGTGTTTAATAGTAATAAAGATTAAGATTGGAGAAGACAGTATAAATAGATTGAAACAATTAAATAAGTCACTAACGCACGATAAACACAATAAACGCTTTAAAATGAGTGGTGGTGCAAAATAAGAAATTATTAACTGGAGATTCAAGTTCATTCAACTTATCAAATCCCTTCACTTCCGCTTCACCGTTCCAGATTGAAAATTATTGAGACCAAACGACGTTCTATTATCATCTTGCTAAAAGTTTTATTTTTATAAATATTTCTTTTATGGTTTTTAGAAAAATTCTCATAAGTATTATTTGCTGTTGCTCATATCAAGCAACTCTACTACGGAAAGCTTTGCTAACCTAAGGAATTGTATCTTAAATGAAGCTTAGCTCCATCATTCACACAGACGGAAGTATTGCCGTTTCTCAAGTCTGATATCATTCAATTTTTGTTTATTCTTACAATCAACATTTTCATAATTTGTTCAATTATTTCCAATTTCTTTATCATTAATTAAATTAATATCAACAAAGTTGCATTAAAAATGAGGTTGGTGGATTTTTTGATGCACTGTGTATGAATAAGATAAAAATGATAATTCATCATCGTCCTCATCACCATGATAAGGATGATGATGAGAAAGATGACGTTGATAGTAGTAATAATAATGGTGAACACCGATATGTTGTCAACTTATTACAATGACAATTTTACGCAAAAAATGTGAAATATTATTTTATTGAATAGATTGCTAGTATGATTAACTTGTTTGGAAAGAAATAATTAAAAAAATTTAAAAATTTAATGAGTTTTGTTTGTCGGATAATTGTATTTTGAAATGTTTTACCAAACAATGCGTTAGTTTTTCGTAACCTTCAAATGTTAATGTACAAAAACGTTGAACGCGAAAATTTTGATCTAATATTTTAAAAATTTTTCAACAAGAAAACAAAAATTTTTTGAAAATAAAAATATTGAAAAATGAAAATAAAAACTGCATCTGATTATTATTGATGTGAAAACAAAGAGAAACATCCAGCCATCCATCATCAATCAACATCTCTTTAATTTTCTTGTCTTCTTTTATTTTATGTTCTTCCATCTTTTCATCAGTTCTTTCAATCATTCATTTATTCATTCGTTATTTTATTCTTTGTACGTTCGTTCGTTCATTCATTGCTTATCTTCCTGCTTGTTTATTTAGCTGTTCAATCATTTATTTGTTCATTCGTTCGTTCGTTTATTTATTTATGTATGTATCTCTGTTCACTCATTCGTTTATTCATCCCTTCGATCGTTTTTTTCATTTGTTTGTTTATCTTTCCATCTCTATCTTCTTTTTTGTTTAATTCTTTTTTCTTATTCTTCTTTCCCGTATTCTTCCATTCTTTCATTCAATCCTTCCGTTTAAACCATTCAACTCACACATACCTTACTGCTATGTTCATTCAATGTTCATCTAATATTCATTTAAAGTTCATTCAATGTTTATCCGATGTTCATCCAATGTTCACCTAATGTTCACTATCAAATATTCATTTACCGTTCATCTTATGTTTTTATCCTGTTTATTTTTTATTTGTTTATATATATATATTAATAAAAAATATATAAACTAACAAACGGTAAATGATTTAATATATATAATCTTTTCTGTAAAAGGAGTATTTTAAAAATTCTACGTATGGAATGCGTGAGCTGTTTCGAACTATGGAAAGTTCAGCGTTATTCTCTCACAAATAATCTCGATAAAATGTCATTCAGAAAACTTTTCAACGAAATCAGCCAGCGACCAGGAACTATTTGGGAAAGATTTAATAATATTCCAGTCAGCTGGTCCAGCTTCAAGTTTTTGTTAAATGTTTCTTATTTTTTAAGTTTTAGATATAATATTTTTGTCATATAAGCGTACCATAGACAAGGATAAATTTGCCACTGTTGAATATGAGAACTAATTGTATTAACATAAGACCATTTGAAACAATTTCATTTAAATTTCATTTAAATTTATTAAGATGTTTATTGATGTTTCAATGGAAGTTTTTCAAATATCAACAGAATAACGATTCAATATTAATTGATCGTTGCAATATTTGTTTTCAATGATTTCTACCTGGCTTCTAGCCTATCTAGCTTTCATCTTAATTTCTTTAATTAATTACAATTCAAAAAATTATCAAACATTTTATTTTACTAGTATGTATAACGAAATATTGCAAAAATTTGTAAAAATAGAGAAAATTAACTTTGAAGCACTAAGCAAGCAAACAGAGAGTTAATAAATTTATTCATTCATCAAGACAATCACTGAGCTAATTGATAGCAGAACTTTGTCTCGAAAATTAGAAAAATGATGGATGAACAAATACGACTGGACGAATGGACGGACTGAAAACAGTGAATGAATAAACAAATTAGAAGGTGATAGCTGGCTGAATGGATTGATAGATTGATTGATGGACATGGGCATACTTACAATACACACACAGACAAACACACATACACACTCGCACGTTGGTACATACACGCACACGAATTCACACACACACAGGAACTCACACACACACCACACATCACACACGCACAAATGTTTGTTTATGTGCGTTGTAAGTATGTGTGCGTGTACACATGTTCGTCTACTACAAAACACAAATACACGTACGTGAAGCCAGATACAATAATCTTGTTTGAATTGATGTGATTATTATGACTTGCATCTAATAATTTTCTCTTTTTTTTGCGTCTTTCGTCCATGAACTATTTTTCTAAATCAAATTCCGAATCTTTCAACTGTACTTTATTTTCAAACTCATTTTACCAATTTTTTCTTGTTAAGTGAAGAAAGTTATTTTGCAAGAACAATTAATAACATGGTATCACTCCTAAAAATTAAAAATTTTATATTTCCATCTTCCATGTTTCTGCACTCAAGCTGCTTAGTAGAAGGATTATGATCAAAATATGAAAAATTACATTAAAATATTTCATTAATTATATTAGACGTTTATTTTCACCAATTTACATCGGGATGGTGGAGGCAGAACGTTGTGCGAGATGATGATGATAATGATAATGATAATGATGATGATGATGATGATGACGATGGTAACAACGACGATGATGATGGTGATTATGATGGGCAAAATGATGATGATGATGATGGAGATGTTTAGAGCGAGGAAGAGGAACATTTGTTCGGATCAGCTGGTCGTTGAGGTTTAGAGGGATTAGGCTCGTACAGGATCTGCCTGGCATTTCTTTCTCTCATTATCCTCTTTTATTGTTACTTTTCTTTTTTTATTTCATTTGTACACAAAAAAATATAACTTTTTTTTCACTCCAGTCCGTAAAAGTTATTAATGCACTGGGTTACACTAATAACTAACTTCATTTCTCACTGCAGCAGCAGCAGCAAGTAGCGGCGGCAGTGGAGCGAGCCAAACAGGTGACCATGCAGGAGCTCAACGTCATCATAGGGGTCAGTTTTTTTGTTCTTTGTCCGGTTGTATGATGGTTTGGATGTTTGATTGGTTGGACGTTTGATTAGTTGGATGTTTGATTGGTTGGATGTTTGATTGGTTAGATGTTTGATTGGTTGGACGTTCGATTGGTTGGACGTTCGATTGGTTGGACGTTTGATTGGTTAGATGTTTGATTGGTTGGATGTTTGATTGGTTGGTTGTTTGATTGGTTGAGTGTTTTTTTTTGTCCTGTCGCGTGCCCGTTTTTTGGCCGTCTGATTTTTTAGCTGTCCACTTCTTCTAAATATGTTTTGTATTGTTTAGTGTTCGGCTGCTTGTTTATTTGAGTATCTAATTAGTTAATACATATCTGGAAGACGGAACTTCGATGTGTTTTGTTTGGTTCAACCAAACATGATGAGTGACACTGAACCGTCAAACATCAAGTAACAAATAGATTAACACTTTGATTTGTCGTTAGTATGTATGTATGTATGTATGTATGTATTTATGTATGTATGTATGTATGTATGTATGTATGTATGTATGTATGTATGTATGTATGTATGTATGTATGTATGTATGTATGTATGTATGTATGTATGTGTGTGTTTTTTATGTATATGTTTGCATGTTTATGTATGTTTGTGTGTATTTTTGCATGTATGCGTGTATGTATTAGGTATATGACTTCAAAAACAAATTTTGTAAAATTGAAATCGGCATGCCAAAGTTTGATGAACTTTTATATAAAAATAATAAATATAGCGAAAATTCATTATTTTTGTTGAAAAAGTTCACCCACCAACAGATTTTTTAGTTTGCAAATAATCCATTTTTTTCGTTTTTCTTAAGTTCACTTTTAATCTTATTGTTTACAATTAAATTTCATTTTTCTGTTCTCCATGTTGTGTTTCTGCATTTTAATCCAGTTTAAACAATTATTTTAATTTTACATCGTTTCATTTTGGAAAATGTCTTATAAACAATCTTCACTTTCTGTTACTAAAAATAAAGACAAATGGTCAAGTAATTTGAAAAAATTTCAAAACACTCTTAAGAGAAGAAACAAAATCAGCATTGGGATCAAACCTTTGTATTCACATTCCAGAATGCCAAAAGAGGGGATGATAATTGGTCGCTACTTAGGCTTGGCCTCTACTGAAAAGTCTAGATTAAAAAGAATTACAACACTCAGACAAGAAATAGAGCAATTGTAAAGCTTGTTGAATTTTCCAATACTATCTTTGCGTTCACTAGGCAGAAAAATTGAAACTTTACTTAAAAAGTATGATACTCATTTGAAAAAACCTGTTGGCGACATGCGTGAGCAATTTGATAAGTTGTTTGATGTCACAAACAAAACTGGTCAATGGCTATGTGCAGAAGACAAAAATTTTTACCAAATTCAAATTCAGAGTAGAGGTAAGACAGGATATGCAACAACAAAAAATGCCAGTCAGAGTACAATTCACCCATCAAAACGAAAAATTGCTGGAAAAGTTAATGATAAACTAAAACAAAAAGACAGTTTTGAAGAAAGTTCTAATGACTCAAGTGACAATGAAGATTCTCAAAGTAGTTCTGAAGACTCAGAAACAGCACAGTCATCCATTGAAAGCTTTGATCAAAGCACACATCTGAAGCAATCTCAACAGTCTACGTTTAGTGCAGTTTCATTAGTACAATCTGGGAAGCTGTCAGTTCGAAGAGCAGCCATATTTAGCACAATTTTAAACAAGTCCGGTGTTAAAATAACAACTCCTTCTCAGTCAGGTGTCTAAAGAGCGATATACAGAGAAGCAAGTAAAGTAATGAAAACATTAATGAATACTTTGTGTAATAGCTCATGGTGTTTACATTTTGATGGTAAAATTATTAAGAAAAAAGAACACCAAGTAGTTCTATTAAGAAATGAAGTAAAAGAAGTGAGGCTTGCTGTCTTAGTGTTACCAGATGGAAAAGCTACTACTATTGCATCTGCTATTCAAAACACGTTGGATGATTATAATCTATGGGCAGCTATAAAGATGATAGTGTCAGACACTACAAATGTTAATACTGGGTCAAAGTCTGGTGTTGTGGTGAGACTTCAGAAACTTTTTGTTCAACACGGTGAATCTGCGCCAGTTTTTATAGGTTGTCAGCACCACATACTTGATCGTGTTCTTAGACACGTGTGTGATGCATTGCTTGGCAATTCAACTGAGTCTCCTAACATAAATTATCCATTTGTGAGTAAGATACTTAAAGATTATGAAATGTTAAAAAAAGATTTTGAAAGTAAAGCAAAGAAATGTACTCCAAATCTAAAAGAACAGGAAGTAGGCTGGAGAGATGATATGAAGTTTTTGCACCATCTAATTTGCGTTTTCAAGCATTTTAAGAATTTTCAACAAATACCAAAAGTTAATTTTAAAGCACTCCCTGGCATCAGCAATGCCCGATGGAATCTCGAACAATTTTTGCATTGTTGGCTTTCATACTATTGCCTGATGAACGAAAGAACCTTCAGAAATTGTGTGAATTTATCTGTGAACAATGGAGTGATGCTTGGTTTAGTGATCATTATTACAGAACTGAACAATATGAATTTCTTTTATATGCTGTTAATGAATATCCTAAGGCGTTGCGCTGTTTTCAAACTCATTGGTCTCAAAGTCCATCTTCCATACACACTCAACGCAGCAATGTGTGTGCAGAAAGAACAATAAAAGTTCTACAAGATATTGCTCCTCTTTGCCACTCATCTGAGAAACTAAATTTACGTTTTATTTTTACAAATAAAAGTTTATGAAACCATACTTGAAATAATTGACAAATGGCAATTTTTTTAAAAACTTTAAAATGTTTAGTGGGTGACATTTTTCAACTTTTTTAATAATTTTGATATGGTTTTGTGTTTTTACAATAAAAAGTCATCAATTGATGGTATGCCTTGCATGTGTTGTTCTGAAGTCATATACCTAGTATGTATGTATGTGCGTGTGTTTTGTGTTTGTTAACGTATTGTTTGTTTAAGCTCATATTCTGGCAGTTTGTATTTGGCGACATTTTTGTCGATCTGTGCATATGTGCGTTGTGCAAACCCGAATGCACTAATGATGAAATAAATTTACGGATGGTTGCATCTGTTCAGTGGTGCATGATTCATTAATAAATTAGTGAATTGATGCATGAATGTATCGATCCGTGAATGCATTTGTATATCTTTACAAAACATAATAGTCACACTGGTATGCAAATAATGACTGATATATAGAAAGGCATATGAATGTGCAACTGAAGAACAAGTCTTGTGCCGTCATCTGTTTCTAAATATTGCACAAGAAAGTAAATTTGTGTGATGAATTTAGTGGTACCTACTTAGTTATATCGCTATCGTTCGATACATCCAAACGACACATAAATAGAAATCTGTGATGTAACAATAACACATGGTGCCATTCACAAAAGGCAGAGACCTGCTCAAATAAAGATAGATGGTAGTCGTGATTTCTCGTTGTTTATTTTCCTGTATTAATTTATTTAAAAATATTCATGCATATTCATGTAAATTCATACAAACATTTCTACGCTAACGGAGGCGTTCAACTTGAAACTTGTAAACTTTCAACATCTTTATTATTATTACATCAGCAATCACATCCAGGGTAATGAGACTGATGTCTAAACAAACCTGTCCAACAATTGGCTATTTTATTAATTCCTCATACAATTTTATTCATTTTCTGAGATACAATTTTGTTTAGCCTATTCTGTTTTGTTTTAGCCTATTCCCAAAAACTTGAATGAAACCATTTGAAATAGGTCAAATAATAACTAGACAGGTAGAGGAATTAAGATTGAAATTATTAGAAGACTTAGTTGATGGAGAATACGAGGAAAATGTCATCAAACTATCGGGATATCTACTACGGAATCATGTGGAATATCATTATAGAGAATTAGATGATTATTTGCTGGAAATACTAAATTGAAAAGATTCTTCACCCAACATTTCTCCTTCATTCTCTTCTTTTCTTGTTTTCTCACTGATGAACATGTTACTCAAATAGCGACAAACTATTGATAGAGATATTAACAAATAAAAAAGACCGTATAAATATGTGTGTGTGTCTGTGTGTGTGTCTGTATGTGTTTGTTTGCATAATGTTGCATACACGTCTATTTATACTGGTTTATGAACAATGTGTACTCCATATATTGATGATATTTAATGAATACTTGAGCAGAACTTGTATTTGTTTTGCAATCTTCTTGTTCAGTCAAGTGTGTGTATGTGTGTGTTGCATTTGTTTGTATGTATGTATGTGTGTATATGTGTGTGTTGCATTTGTTGCATTTGTTGGTATGTATGTATGTGTGTATATGTGTGCGCATGTTTTGTATGCTGTGTATGTTTGTATGTGTATATGTCGTTTACATTAACTATAATTTGTATGTTTATATTTATTTGTATACATCTGTTGTGTATGTGCTGTATGTCTTTTTAGGTGTGTTCACCTTGCATGTGTAAATGTGCGTGCGTGTGTTGTTATGTGCGTGTTTTATGTGTGCGTGTGTGTGTGTGTTTATGTGGGTGTACCAAGCATGGAACTATTGTTTTTGTTTATCCTAGCGTTGTTTGCTATATGCAGAAATCAAAAATGGAAAAATTTGGAAGGCGAAAATAAAAAAATATTGATAAGTTGGGTGGAAAAATAAAAAAAGTTGTTATTTATGATTTTTTCTTTAAAGTTCTCTTTCATTTGTCTGATGAAAATTTGTCCTTCAATAATTCTGATGTTGTTTCTGCTTTGTATGTTTAGTTGTCTGACGCTGTTGATGTTTGTTGTGGGTTGCTTGTTGGTTTATGTTGTTTATTATGTCTGATATATTTTTAACGTTAACTATCGGTAATTTGTATGTGGTTTATGATGTTTATAATATATATATATATATATATATATATATATATATGATGTTTATTCATGTTTATTCACCGGTTTATGTGATTTATTTACTTGCTGGTAGTGAAATAACTAACTCTTTGTGTGTAAGCCGAACACATTTTTATTTTTTCTCATGTAAAATTAAATCCATTAGCCAAAAAAAAACCAAAAGTTATACGGGTTAACTTAAAGTTTATCACATGCATACATTCCCAAATGTTTGGCAGATTTTCTTGTTATTTACACATAGTTTTGATTTAAACTGAAACCATTTTCCAAAATAGAAAGAAACTGGCTGTATAAGAAAAAAAAATAGAAAACTGTTGTATAACTCATCCCATTAACATCACACGCCACGACAAACACACACACACACACACACACGCACACATGCACAAACCGCACACACATCACACACACGCGCACGCACGCCACACACACACACGCAAAAGCACACTTACTTACATAAATCCACAGAAGAATTGCCTTTAATAAAGAAATTTCATATTTCGCATGCGTTTAAACCGCCTCAAGTCAGTTGGACGTGGTGGGCAGTTTTGATGATGATTATGCTGGGTTGGGGTGGGGGTGGCGATGATGATGGAAAAGTGCTCACTGGAAATGGTGATGATGATGACGACAACGATGATGATGTTGATGATGATGATGATAGTTATGATAGTGATAATATTCAAGATTGTGATGATGGTTAGATGAAGTAGAGTCGCCAAAGGTTGCTGAGAATTTTTCGATGTGAATAAAACTGAAAAGAAAATGATGCCATTTATAAAGTTCAACTTGGTTGTTTCATTATGGATAAAAATTACGTCATTCAAGAAAAAAACACTCAACAAAAAACTTAAAAAAACAAAAAAAACTATATTGAGGACTATTATTAAACAAATTTAAAAACCAAAAATATGACAAAAATGTGCAGCGCATACAATGTGGTAAGTGTAAACATCATGAAGATGAAACGAACCAACCAATAATTGTGAAAGTTATTTATAGGACTGTGGCGTGGGATCTGTTAGAGCTGTAGTATCAATCCCGTTTACTAGTATTTTTACTAACTTATTCACAATTTTTACTTATTTTTTAAAATAATTTGGTAGTATAATACTAATTTATTATTTATTTATTCTGCTTTTTAAATGTTTTTTTAAAATAAAAATTTCACCTGTAGAGTAAAAACACCACAATATACACGTACAATATCAAATGCAGTAGTAAAAATACTTCACACTCTTCTTTTTAAAAGCTAACAGGATTAGATTGTACTATTACTAATTAAAATATTAGTAACAACAACAGTAGTAGTAGTAGTAGTAGTAGTAGTAGTAGTAGTAGTAGTAGTAGTAATAGTAAAAGTAATAGTATTAGTAGTAGTAGTAGCAGCAGCAGCAGCAGTAGTAGTAGTAGTAGTAGTCAGGGCTCTGGTAAAAATGGTAATAGTAATAGTTTGCCGTGGAAT